GCTACATGGCCCTAAGGCCAGTACTAGGCTTACTGAATTCGGCTGTAGAGTGTTGTAGAATTCAGTGGAGGATGTGGAGTTTGAGGTCCCCTGACTAATTGCGGGTTTTCGCTACCGGGTTGTCATTAAGCAGCCATGCCACTATTCCAAGCATGGACGCACGTACCAGAGGCCATCATGTCAATCATGGCTGAAGTTCGGAGCTAGCCTTCAGCATCAGAACTAGCGACACGCTTGATGCTGATCCGCCCCCCTCCCATGCCCGTTCTATGGCATTAAGCTCCAGCATGATCACATCAGAATCTGCCACCATTGAAAAACTGGATGCCAAAGCTGCTGCAGAACAGCAAGCGACTGACGGCTCAAAGGAGCCTCACCCAGTGCGGTTTCCAAACTTTGGGCTGCTCAGGTCCTCAAGGTTTACTCCTTTCTGGAGTCCTATTTGCAAACCAAGTGATCCTACAACAATCTACACCCTAGATTACTTGGCAGAATTCGGGTTGAGGCTACTCTGCTGTATAAACAAACACGGAGCCACAGGTAGTAAGGCCTCCTTGCTTTCCAGCTTCAATGTTTGTGCCTTCAGCTGCGGTATCTGCGGTCCGTTGCCTTATCTATCTGTTTGGTCTTTTTCGTGGAATCCGTGTTGCTGCTGCAAGACTCAATTGCGAATGGCTCTAGGTTTTCAACTTCTCCATCCGGAAACCACCTTGGCGGCACGACTTCTGGCCAAAGATCGAGAGAGAGACCTTTCTCCATGCATGTGGCAGTTTCCAAAAATTTGGAGCAAGCAAGGGGACCAGTAAAAAGGGGACCCGTGCTCCGTTTTTGGAAGCTCCCATTGTGGAGTTTCGCTTTCAGCCATGAAAAAGCGCGCCATGCCTATTGATGGAGACTGCGAGACCTGGAACTCGAAGAAGAATATAACACGCTAAATTTAGAGGCTACGCAGGGATGATGTCATGGCTACACGGGGTTGTGCCGGAGTGCGTGGTGCGCATAGCAGGATGTAGGCAAGTCCAATTTGAAGAGCCCCACTGACCAAATGTCATCAACGAAGAAAGACGTTCGATTGTTACGCTCTTGCTAGGAACTTTACCCCTGAACTTGGTACACAACGGGAATGGCCGGTGCGCGTTTCTGTTGATGTGCTGATACTCGCAGGATAGATTCAACATCAGTCCAGATACTCTGCATGAATTTGTCGTAGTTTGTTCAGTACTATAAGTGGTGCAGCCTGTCCTGGCATTTAGGCCATTACGGCGAGGTACTACAACCAGCTTCGTGAGAGAGAAGATGAGCACGTCATCTCTGCTTCCGACCTGGGACGCTACTACCAGGACGTTGACCTTTTGTTGGGAAGTTCAGGTGTCGAAGCAATACACTGTGTTCGGAAGTTTAGGGCTCCACGATGCAGGCTCAGAGAGTTGTTCAAATGCATCATCATCCTGCATGGTCATCTAGAGAAGACCACCAAAAGAAGGACGAAGGATTTGGGAGTTACGGAGTGGTAGCGAAGGGACCATTTGCGATTCTGAGGTCAAGGTATGAAAGGGCCTAATGATCATGTCCCTCCCTTGAGTGAATGCTTCAGTTACACTGCCAACATCTCAAACAAAGCATTGTCGGGTACAAGGACCTCTCTGAGAAGGCCTGAACCTCTTGCTTGGGTCGTGCCTTCTGGGCCTCTTCTACCACCCTAAACTGTCCAAGTACCTACGAATTTGATACTCTTGGCGTGTACTTGCTGTACACATTGGCCGGTATCTGCAACGTGACGTGATTCTTGGAAACTTTGTGTGGGATCTACTGTTCAAGTTGTTCAGCACCGCTGACCACATCACCACCAAAACCAACGCCAGCCTTGACACCAGCACCAGCATGTCTGCTGGGTGGTGGTGGTGGTGGTGGTGGTGGTGGTGGCGGCGGCGGCGGCGGCGGCGGCGGTGGCGGCGGTGGTAGCGCTGCTGCTGCTGCTGCTGCTGCTGCTGCTGCTGCGGCTGCCGCTGCCGCTGCCG